TTTAAAAATATAATATGTAATATTCCACATATATAAAAAAGAATAAAAGATAATATAATAATAATAAGCACCTGTATCCTAACGTAAGAACTGAAACATTACAAAATAACCGAATTTACTTTTATACTCCTCTTTCGCCAGCAGTAATAACACTCTTGAATTTGGTATTTATAATTCTTGCACATTTCTTCCCACTTTCTCACACACTTATGTAACCCTGTATAACATGTGGTGGTCTTGGTAGGTGTTTAAGGACTACAACAATGATATCACACTGTATGAATTGCCCTAACACTTACTTTGTTCATTCAACAATGTTTGTGAGGTCATCCATGGGCAATATCACTGCTGTGAAGCACACCATTGCATGAATCTCTATCACAATTTATTTACCCATTTATCTATTAATATATATTTTGGTGCTTCTAATTTAGTCAGTGTTGGAGCTGAGATTTGCAATTATCAAGCATTGTGCCTTCAAAACCTCCAGGCTTAACCACTGACTACACCATCCTGAATTGGATTGTCTCTCTGAAAGTTCATAACCTAGAAAAGAAAAGTTGTGGGAAAAAAGCATCTGTATGTGATATTTAAAGTCATTGCTCAAAGGAAAAAGAAAAGATATAAAATAGTGCAGTGAGAATACCCAGGTTTATACTAAACTAAGCTCTGTGTATAAAGCATTGCCCAATTTCATGAAGTGTTTAGACAAGCCTTTAGAGGCACTCGAATATCACCTTCCACAGGGAGCTTAGTAATCATTTCAATAATCAATCTAAGGTTGAAATGTCTGACGCTGACTCTGGAAATCCTTAAAATCCTAGTTTATAGATGAGTGAATAGGTTTCTTATATTTTCCTTGGGATATGTGCATGTGTACCCATGCTTCTACTTATGAAATCTCCCACTACCTCTCTGCTCAAGCTGGGAGATGCCTGAGGACCTGAACCGTGTCTGCAATGTGGAAGATGCCAACACTCAGCAAAGCAGTGAAGGCGATACACTTTGTCCTCACTGGTTCTTTCCCGGTCTCCCCCACCTGCACTGTTGGCATGAACACTCCTCAGATACATACAGCATATTTGCTGAATGATTAGGAGAAGAGATGGTCTGGGATGATAGGGATTTGGTGCATTCCCCAATAAAATTACAAAACTCTCTGTGCATATTTCATTGCATAGAAAAGCTCAGGGTTGACTCCTGTGTCATTACCTCATCTCCCCAACCTTCTCCAAAAGCACAACACATCAGGCAGTATTTAAGTGACTAGCCCAATAATTAAATAAATAAGCATTTGCTTGAATTTAATCATAAACACGTTAAATTAAATATGCCTTGCAAATGAAATGTATCAATTAGAACAAAACATACTATGAACGAGGCTCTAACAATAACCCATTCTTTGGGTCTTCTGTGACTGTTCATCTTTTTTTGGGTTACCAAAATTAATCTCCATTGTTTAGATTTCCCACTGAGTCTGAGCCAGGCCATTCTAAGAATAATGTGTTTTCTCCTGTAGTCCACAACTAACTTATGTATTTATTCCCTCTCTATGTGTCTGTTCATGGACTTCATTGTTTCATTTATGTGATCTTATACCACTTATTGTGTGATAGGTATTTTGGCTGTAAGTGTCAGAACTTTAATTCAAACAGACTTAGGTGAAAGTGGTATGTGTTGGCTCCAGGAATATGATAAAGGAATATGATAAAGAGTTGTACAATGAAACCAAAGCAGGGCAAGGATATAGCTGGATGTCTGGAGCATCAGGAACTGAATAAACCAGTTGTTGCCACATCTACCTCTTGTCTCCACTAGTTTTTGCTTTTGATAGGAAATATGGCAGAGAATATAGCCATGAGAAGCTGTTGGATTTCATGTTTTACAAAATTTTATTGGATTAAGTTAGAAAAATACCAAGGATGGACTTTGACGATCTTGGAATGGATCCACAAACTACAGTAAAAGGCAGGGTCATGAAAAACCTCTTGGTTGGAGCATGAGCAGGAGAAGTTACTTCTAGCTGGAGGTGGTTCTCAGAAGAAAGGAAATGTGCTGGGAAGGAAAAAAATAAAAAAAATCAGCCATTCCAACTATCCTCACTACATCTTGCTGCACGCGTGCTTCTCTGAGAACTTTATGGCCTCCAACCTTGTCAACATTTTTCCTCTACTTTTATAACCCAACTCAAAACTTGAACTTTTTCAGGTTAGCCTTTCTTTCAGTGACCACATGTCTAATTCTAACTTCTAATCTGAATTTTAGTTCTTCATTTCCAAAAATCTACTTGTGTTTTCCAACCATGTGACATGATGTCTAGCCAGTTGTAATAAGTTCCAAATTATATTACTATTTCTCCCAAATTCAAACCAACTTCCCCTTTCAACTTCTCCATTTTTGTTAGTGATTACTTCATATTACAACCCAACATTGAAATCCAGCTTGATTCTTCCTTCTCTCTAAACCACCATATCAAGACACTAGTTGATGATGTTTTTCCAAAGCTCTCTCATATCTATTCCACCTTCTCTATTCCTACTACCACCATCCTGGACCAAATCTCCTTTTATTGCAGTTAGAGTACAAATAGCTCAAACCCTTTGCCTCCTCCCCTTCAAATCAACCATAACCAAATGTTTGTACCCCCTAATATTCTAAAATTTAAAAAAATAAATAAATAAGATTCTATTATAACCTCTAACATAAAAAAGTCTCATCTCTTGAGGTTGGCTCCATAATCTGACCTCAACCTACCTTTATGGAATATGCTCTGCTCATTCCCTGCTCCAAACTTTTGTCTATGACATGTCACTTGAATTCTGATCTAAACCATGGTCACACATTTTGTTTATGCCAAAATTTTAACACTTAATTAGATGCAGCCTCTTATTACTATTTAAGTGTTTCCTATGTGTTTGTGTGTGTCCCTCAACTAAATTGAAGATTCTAGCCTAAGGAGACCATGTTTTATTTTCTCTTAGAGCCTAACTTGAATGTCCTGAGTCTACTCAACTTCAGTCCCCCTGCTGCTTGGCATCATCCGCCTTCCCTAAGGTATTTCTCACAAAATGCATGAGAATATAAAGCTCAAGGGAGAAACTCATTGAGGAATTTTCTACTAAGAAAATTTAAAAGAGGCTCACCTGGAATAAGAAACAAGTTTTGAAGGGCACTTCACTCCAGATCATTCCCACTGTGGACAAAGTGCAGACACAGGGCGGCCTATACAAAGGTCAAGAAGTCTAGCTTTCCTGGGATACTGAATCTGTGTTAATGCAGAGGACTTAACCAATGGAGACATTTTCACAAGATGAAGTCCCTAAAGAATTTAGTGTTAATTGGTTTATTAAACTAGGGGTCAGGATGAGACTAGAGGTCTAAGAGTTTGTGCTCAGGAGCACAGTCTAGACTTCAGATGATGATGGGTAAATTATTAGAGGAAATAATCTCTGAGGCTTCTTCAGCCCAGGCATTGAATCGGGAATCCAAAATGTGGTCTTATGAAGAATAGAGTCATTGTGAAAATTAAAAATTTAATGCTAAATTAGCTAGCACACATAATAAAAGTAGGCTTCCCCTCCAGATCTGGGTTGAAGATCACAGGCAGATTCTCTTCCTTGAAATATGTGACAGGAGGAAAAAATCAAAATATATAAAGAAAATAATATTTTTTCAAAATGTTAAAAATAAGTAAAATAAGACTTCGATGATCTCACCTAGCCTCCCCACAGCCACACTTCTGGACCAGATGATGTCACTGAGGCTTTTGCGGTGTAACATGTAAAATGCAGTAATGAGTTGGGAAGTGGGTGAGAGGGAGGTGGTAGTACTTCTTAGGACCTTGCAACTAGTGATTTTCTGGCAGAGTGAGAGAATGGAGCAATGTCCTCCTGTATGTACTTTTTCCCAGAGGAAGAGAATAGCCACATTTCTGAACACAGTGCTTGGTGTGGTCTAGAATAGGGGCTATCTGAGGCTATTTGGGGAAGGAGCCTGAAACTCTACTTATTTCCTTCTGTCACCCTCTTAACCTTATAAGATCAAATCTTTTTCTACCATCCTGTAGTACTTCTTGAACCACTATTTAGCACCTATATAATTTTGACTTATAGTAAATAATAACTATAATATCTACATTTAGTTATATATAGTATCTTAAATTCTTAATTTTCATAAATTCCTATGCAGGGAGACAGAGCATGCTGAATCTCTACAAACATATCTCTGGGCTAGGCTACTTTGGTGGGTTCCCCAACTAGATGGATCAGCGCTTGGTACCAGGCAAAGCACCATCTTCAAAGGCAAACTGAGCAGAGCTAGAAGGTTCACAAAAAGCTGGTGTCCAGGGCATGTACTGAGCAAGTATTTATTTCTCTTCACTCATTGTAGAGCAGGTCAAAGTGCATTTCTGAATCAGTGTATTTTCAGACAAAATGATCCTGATCCTGTGGCAGGAGTTTTAATGTGATACTTCTTGAAGCTGAGGTTATGACGCAATTGATTTTCCAAGTTTGTCTTTCCATAGCTTATGTTTCCATGAAGATTGTGGAGTTTGAGGAGGAATATATAATTGCCATAGTAGTAAATATTTTCAAATATTATTTTAATATCAGTTATGAGAGAGAGGTTTAGCAGTCACATTAAAAGACAAACATATTATCTTGGGATTTACACATTATTTCAGAAGAGGTGATTCCTTGTGGTGTGGCTCATACCAAGCAATAATAAGCTATAGCATACAAAGTATTTACCGAATACCTCACCTCTCTATTTTGCTCATTTTATCAAAACAAACCTAGGGAACCAACACCATTATACCTGTCTAGGTCATGTATAGAGCTTTAATCATTTTATTCTTCAATGGAGGGGAACACTGATGAAAAGTGGAGAGATTTTCAGTTGTGTTTTACAGAATAGATTGGAAGACTTCATGAAGAATCAGAGTTGTTTTCCTGAGGAATCAGAGGTGTCTTCATGAAGAGCCCATTTCATGTCTGTTCTCAGCAAAGTGTCCTGGGATCTGCTCTGCGGTTGGCCCTTACCTTGAGGATGCTCTGAGCCCAGAGTAGAATGGTCTCCACAGCTCTCCTCAATTTGGCATTGCCTGAGATCAGGATGGCTGCATGTCCAGAGGGACATGCCGCCAATATCCCAACACAAACCATTACACCTATCTTGTTATGCCACAGCATCAGTAGGGGCACTGAAATGATGGCAGCACAGAATGACACCACAAAGAAGCAGAGAAAGGATAAAAGAGATTTGAGGGCTTTAATGTGTGCATCTAGACTGGAGACGTGAGAGTTTCTGGGATGGGCCTTCATTGTCCTCATGTGCCTCCCCAGGGAGACAATCAGCACCCCGGAAGAAACCAGAAAAATTAGAAAAGGGGGTATAGACCCCAGGTAGCAGAAGAGGAAGGTATAAAAGAAATTTCTTTTTGTATTTTGCCAGTTGAGTTCTGTATTGTTATTCATGAATAGCATAGCTGTGACTGTGAAGTGAGATTTTCTAAAAAAGTCCCAAAGGCAGAAGACAGTGCAGAAGCAGGAGGAGAGAATAACAATCAGGAGCATCTGGTAGGTCTTCCTGGAGACCCAGCTTGCCAAGCACAGCAGGAAGGTTTGAGAGAAACGGACAATCTTGGAGCAGTAGAGGAGACTGAGGCAGGTGGCAAGCCAGAGGCTGGCTTGGTTTGCGATCATCCAGAGCATGAGGAGAGTTTGGTAGCTGTGGTTTAGTGGCTCTTTCAAATTCTGGAAGCAGGCAAGCTGGATGGCACACAGAAACAGCAGCCCATGCAGGAAAAGCCGGGTGAGACTGAGGCACAGCAGCACACGATCACAGTTGTTCAGGGGCTGCCTCCTTACCACATCCCCCAAAATCACGAAGAAAATGAAGACGTTGGCCAGCAGCCCCACTGCAAACTCCAAGACTGAAATGAACAGAAACACATGCTTGACTTCATAGGATACAGTTAAGGCAGGTGTCAGAGTCAACATTATGTCTCTTCTCTAGTTGGCTAATCTACTTAAGATTCAGAGACCACTCCGTGGAGAAGGATAAGTGCACATTCTAAGCCAGGACCTTTCCTTCAAAGAAGCATCCAGCTCTTGTCCTAAATCTACCCCGAAGTGGGTACATAAAAAATTCTGGCAGGAAATTTAGAGGGATGTTGTTGCTTTAGAATATCTCTTGGACACAAGAGCTTGTTGTAAAAGTGGAAGACTGATGGTTTTACCTCTTGGATGATCCAGAGCTTTAAATAAATCCAGGTGTTCCTGTATAGAAGCCTCCACAGAGAGCCATAGCACAGCATGAGGGATGCAAACAAGACAGGGTCTCAATTTCCCAAGTCCAGTTTTGCATGTCCATCTGGACCTGTGTGGGTGGAGAAGAGAATAGTATTTGCTTATGGGTTTTAAAGAAACTGGCAGTAGGCAAAATAGATATTCATGGTGATCTAAGGTTTGAAATGGTGCTTCTTTCCATTTGCATTTCTTCTCTCACCTGTGAGGCATGACTCTTATCATAAACTGTACTTTTAATATGGACAAGTGCCTGGTTCCTCCCCTCGCACCAGCGTGTGACTACAATTTTAGTTGGCATTGCCAAAGGTTTCCTTCAACCACCATTATTATGCCAGACATTGTGCTTGACAACAGGAGTATTAACATGGATGAGACCAACACCTTGCCATGAAGGGAGAAGGAAGGGGCATATCTGGCCTCGATTATTACAGAAGGTTTTTAACTGCTCTCTCTGCTTCCTCCTCCCTTACTCCATTTTCCACAAAGCAACAATAGTAATCCTGATAAAATATAACTTAGAGCATGTCATTGCTCTGTTCAAAGCTTTCAGGGCCTCTAATCTCCCTCACTATAAAAACTAAGTCTCTACAGTGGTCTACAGGTCCCACGTAATCAGAGCCCCTGTTCCTTTTCAGATGTCAGCTTCCTCCCTCCCTCCATGTCAGCCACAGAGACCCCTCTCCTGTTCTGTGGACTCACCAAGCACCTGCCTACTGCCGGACCATTGAACTTGTGCTTCCCACTCCCCGAATTGCTTTTCCTCTACACACTCCAATGTCTCACTTTCTTCTCAAAAGCTCTCTTCTCCTTATCAGAGAGCCCTTTCCTGACTATCCTGTGAATGACATCCCTTACCCCATCTTGGGTGCATGTTAAAATATTTAATCTGTTTTATATTCCTGCATATATTCAATTATTTATTGCCTATACCCAGCCCCCACTAAAAATGTAAGCTTTATGAAGAAATTTCTTAGGTACTTAATAAATAAATATTTTTGAATGAATGCAATTTTCATAAATGAAGCATTTAGTAATCTTAGCATCTCCTCGATGATATCTATAATATAATGTTACACTGCATTTAACATTCCAGGGATTATATTCTAACATACAGGGCTATAATTTCTGAAGTCTAGCTTTCTCTCTTTTTACACATATCCAAATAGTTGTTGAGCTCTGGCCTTCCAGTGTTTTTAATTCTCCATGATAGCTAAAGGAATATGGACAATTTCATGATCACATCTACAAGTTCTATAAAAATGCAGGCCAGTTACTCAACAGAGATGGGAGAACTGATCATTTAGAGACTGGATGGGATGTTGTTTTGTAACATTTAATACAAATCTGGTGCTTATTTTCCACTCTTGCAAATGTTTGAACTTTTCCAGTTCTTTTATAATTGCCCTTTATGCTTCATTCACTCACTCACTCATCTGGAGGAATGAGTGCAGATGCCAGGAGAAGTTGCATGGGACTGCCTTTGGTTTGCTCTGTTGTGTGATAACATTTCTTCCAAGGGTTGGGGCTTTCCCACCTTTGCTCATTTGTCAGCTCAGCCTAGTGCTCCACTGGCCCTTTCTGCTAACTCTTCACCGCCTCACTTTGGGTGTTCTGCTTCCTCTAAGTGTGCTCACAGCTCTGCACAGTGCCCTAGATGCAAGGGCTCTGTGTTTGGAGTGTGGGCTCTGAAACCCGGCTTCCTCAAGTTAAGGTTTGGCTCTGTCACATACTCTCTGTGTGACCTCGACACATGACTGAACCTTCCCCATTCATCTCATATGAAATGAAGATGATGATCAAAAGAACACCTACCTCAGAAGGTTATAAGGATGACCTAAACTGACACACATGGCATGCTTGGAATTGTGTGTAAGTTATTACCATTGTTCTAATGTGTTTGTCCTTGATATTCTTCATCCCGTCCTTTGTTGCATTCTCATTTAAAATATCCCTAATCCAAGAGCTGTCTGTGCTGCCCCATTTGTGTCTGTACTTTGTCTTTGTTTTTTTAATGATTTTTGTGACTAATGCTCCTTATTTTCTTATGAGTAGTGACACAAATGAGTGATTACTAAAAATGTTCATTCCTGTTTTATTCTGAACTGTTTATATATAGATATTTGTATGTCCCTTCATGGTACATTATCATGTATCATTGCAGTTCTGTTTAATTCATTGTATCTGTGATTACCTCATTTGGGTCATTCAAACACTGAGACACTGACTGAGCTCTGTACTTTTAA